GGAGTATTATTAAATGTTGATGTAGTGCCTATTAAACATATATATACATGAGTGTTTGTGTGATTGTGTGTAAATCAATGGTAAATCACCCGATGTATTTACCGAAAACCAACATACTACCCCATGAATTTATATACTTTTATGGTAACAGAACAAATAGAAAATGAATGACAATTAAATCTCATAAAGAGTAGTACTGAAATTTAATATCTAAAAATTAGCTAGAGTACTTAAGGGAGTTCTTTCAAATTATAAAAAAAGATGGGGTTCTCCCTCTTCCTTACATAATTTTCTCAAATGGAAGGGTCTTGCTAAATTTCCATTTTTTTAAATGGTTAATAATTATTTTCTACAAAGCTTATTATATCCATGAAAAGACTTTTTTGAAAATCAATTAGCTTCATTTGGAAAACTAAAGAAAAAAAATCTAAATTATTTTTAAAACAAAAAAATTATCTTAATGCATTTTTTATGACGTAAGGGATCATCTTGATAGATTGGTATGGGAACACGGGGTAGATTTCTTGCACACGAGCTATTAATCCAATCACGTACAGATGAAGACTTGATTATCAAACCTATAAAATCAAAATACATGAACTAAGTTGGGGGTTGATCCAGCTGAAATCTCTCCGACGCTCGCTAACATAGAAAATATGGTCTTAGAATACAAGATCAATAGGACTCGAGAGATTTTTTAGAACGCCCTTTTTCCAATGAGGTTGATATCTTATATATACTTAATTAATGGTAAATCCCTAACTAGAATGTGCAAATGGCAAATAGGCCTATGACAAGGGCACTTAATTAAAAGAGGGACATTCAACTCTTTTGTTTTTCAAATAAATTCAGCTCATTCTAACTTATTTGCAAATAAAGAAAATCCTTTTATATATATCAAAATTACCCTCAATTCATTGAAACCTAATTCAACTCCAATTGCACGATTTACACCCCAATTTAGCCCAATTTCATCAATTAACCAATTTTAACCCTAATTTCAATTTTGACCCCAATTTTGACCCGCCACCACCAGAGACCGCCGGTCAGCCGCCGTTGCCCGCTGGAGACCGCCGTTGCCCTTTTTTTTTTTTTTTTCTGAAATGTTTTTTCGGTAGGTCAACCGCCGTGTCTCCCCCGTTGATTTTTTTTATATAATTATTTTTTCTTGAAAAAAATATTTTAATTAATATTACTGTCTTGGCTATTGTTGGGTGCTAAATACCTAACACGCAAGTGCACGTATCGCAAACAAGTAGTAAAAGTGGACTCGTGAGAGTCGGATGTCGATCCCACAGGGAATACTCAAATTATCTAATCCTAAGTACCAAATTCTAACAACTATAATTTTTATCCAGCCTACGCAAGTTTGTTAAATTAAATCTACTAAATAATTAAACTAATTATGAAAGAAATTAAACACGAGAAAATATCAATAAAAACGGACCTAGGATTTTATCTTCCCCCTATGCAAGAATTGCTCACCCAAAACCCCTCAATTATGAAATATATGATTTATGTTTATTAACCCGAGACACTAATTTACTCATAACCCGCTGTCGCGTGTATTATGAGTCTATTATTCATAAACGGTTCACTATATGTCTATGCAAACAAATTATGAATAAAGCATTAACTAACAAGTCTCGTAAATGGCTACCTAAGGTGATATCTGTATGTCTACGACACCACATGCAATTGACACACTCATCCGGTGAAAACTACTCGAAGGTTCTTCTACTTACCGTTTAATTATCAAAATAGCTCTGTCGAGTCAATCCCAATAATCACAGATAAAGCACATAAATTGATCAAGTTCATGCACTAACAATCATAACAAGTATAAGAAATAATCATAAAATCATAATTGCATAATCTCAAGAAAACGGGTTCACAATCCCCACATAGGGTTCCAACAAAATCCTAGATTAAAAACTTAGCTACTCATAACGAAAAACATAATAAAAGTAATAAAAGTCATAGATTAAGAAAAGATATGTGAAAGAAGAATTATGATGAAGAGTTGTCAATTCTCCGTCTTCGATTCTTCGTTCTCTCGCTCCTCTCGCTCCAAGGTTGTGTCCCAAGTTCTCTAATTCGTGCTTGGTTTGGGCTTAAATAGATGTCCCAACTTGGTAGATGATTTTAGGTTTCCTTGTGTGATTAAAAGTCCAAAATTGTCTCCAGCGTGTGTTGGCACGGCCGCGCGAAAATCAGTGCAATTCTCACACGGCCGCACGAGAATCGCCGAAACCTTCTGCCCAATTTCTCCATTTGGCACGGCCGTCCCATTTTTAGGTGTAAATTTGGGACGGCCGTCCCGTGCCAATTTCTTCATATTTTTTATTATTTCACTTTTGGCCCATATTTTCTCCAAAATTGCAGTTTTGACCCCAAACTTTTCCAATTCTTCAATTTATACCTAAAATACAATAAATCAACTTTTTAAGCACCAATTATCGTTAAATCACACCAAAAGCTCAAATAAAAAGGTACGATAAAGTATAAAAATATATACTTAACAGCTATCAAATTAGTGTCTCCAACAGTTATTTAACTGTCGGAGACAGTAATTTAACTGTTAATTGACTTTTTTTTTTCTTCAAAAATATTTTAATTAATATTACTGTATTGACTGCTAAATTACTGTCTCTAGCAGTTATTTAACTGTCGGAGACAGTAATTTAACTGTTAATTGACATTTTTTTTTTAAATATTTTAATTAATATTACTGTATTCGTTGCTAAATTACTGTCTCCAGCAGTTATTTAACTGTTAATTGATTTTTTTTCTTAAAAAAATATTTTTAATTAATATTACTGTCTTGACTGCTAAATTACTATCTCCGGCAGTTATAACTGTCGGAGACAGCAATTTAACTGTTAATTGACTTTTTTTTTTTTTTGAAATCTTTTTTTCTTAAAAAAAATATTTTAATTAATATTATTGTCTTGGCTGCTAAATTACTGTCTACAACAGTAATTTAACTGTCTCAGACAGTAATATTAATAATATTACTCTTCGGAAAAATAATATTCATAATATTACTGTCCCAAACTTTCAAAAAAAAAAGTCAACGCCGGAGACCGGTCGGAAAAAAATTTCAGAAAAAAAAAAAGTCAACGCCGACCGAAAAAAAAAATATTTTTTCAAAAAATTATTATTTTGGTGGTTTATGTGATATATTTGTTTAAATCCGAGATCAATGTGTAATATTAAGGAAGTTAGAGCATAATGGATGGAATTGATAAGAATTATATTATGGAGGGTATTTTAGACTAAAAACATGAGGATAAGTTTATTTGAAAGACTGTTTTTTTTTTTTTGCGCAAGATGCATTTAAGTCCATGTAATGGGCCTATTTGCCAACTAGAATATAAATCTATTTGAACTTAATGTAGGACTTTATTTAGGTCTTTGAACTAGGGGTGTAAACGAGCCGAGCTCGAGCCGAGCTCGCCTTATTTCGTGAGCTCGAGCTCGAGCTCGCCAAGGCTCGGGCTCGAGCTCGCCAAGGCTCGGGCTCGAGCTCGAGCTCGAGGAGCCTATAAGTTTTAGCTCGAGCTCGAGCTCTTTGTGTTTCTAAGGAGCTCGAGCTCGCGCTCGAGCTCGTATACGAAACGAGCCCGAGCCCGAGCCCGAGCTCGAGCTCGAGCTCGGCACAACCAAAAATCCATCCATTAAATTTATTTTTTCAATTAAAAAAGTAATATTATTCTTTTTTTATTTATTATTAATAATATCCATTATTATATATTATTAATATGTATTAAAAATTATAGAGAAAAGGTCCTGCTCGCGAGCTGTCGAACAACTGAAATGAAGCTCGAGCTCGACTCGTCGAAAAGCTCGGGCTCGAGCTCGATTTTTCGAGCTCGAGTACGAGCTTTTTTCGAGCAAGCTTCGAAAGCTCGCGAGCCGGCTCGTCTCATTTACACCCCTACTTTGAACTGATATGGTTCACTGGAGTCCTCAGGTGGCTATTGCGCCTTTGATTTTCAGTCTACATGACCAGATAATTAGTGGGCCCATTATATTGGTATTTTGGCCCATTTTTTAATGAAATAGTTAATGGGCCCATTGGGGTCCACTTAGTCGTATCAATTTTGTAATTTAGTAATTTATAATAGGGCCTAAATAGATCTAAGACAAATATTGATCTAAGTTTTTTAAAGGGATTAATTATATGTTTCACCCTCAAAGTATGACACCCGTACATATGTCCCCCCCTAAAGGACCAATTGTAAGACATGCCCTATTGATCCCTCAAAAGTCAAGAGATCATTTAAAAATGCTGACATGGCACTATAAATCCTCTCTCAATATGGTTGTTGAATATTCTGAACCAAAATACCCTTTGAAATTTCTTCACCTATATTGAATATAATATTTGGAATTATATTATTATAAATACTTAAGAGTAAATGAAACATTTTAAAATTTAAAAAAATGATATATTGAGTTGGTAACATAAATTTAATAACATGACAATATAATTTTTTGGACCAAATAAAAATTAAAAATAAATAAAGACATTCTAAGAAATTATTGATACTTCAATTAATCCTTTTTTAAAGTGTCAAAACTAAAAAAATTAGTAATTTTCTATAATCTTTGCCCACAATAACTCCGTCCAACATCAGTCAAGTACACGTGCCTGCCATTCATCCCAAAACTCTACCGTCCAAAATCACCGTCTCCCCCAATTTTTCTTTTTCAGCAAGTTTCCTACTGTCACTCCAGTACATCTAATACAGTGTGATAATTCCACATCCAGCCAAATAAAATCTGATCCTACACGTGTCATTTGATGAGGAAATCTTGCTGTCCTTTGTAACCAATTTTGTTCTCTTATCCTTATCAAATAAATAAATGAGAAATCAATTATGAATTCAGATTATATTCTCTTCATTTATCTTATAGCTGCTATTTCAATACTCCCAAACCAAATGGCATTTCATTTAATCTTCTACATTTTCACCTGATAAAATCCAGAAGCCATGTCGTCGTCAACTTCGTTTCTAATTTCTTCACTCATCCTGTTGTTGCTGCACCATACCACGTCGTCGCATCCTGAAATCGCCGACGGCGACATACTTTTGCCTCCGAAAAAGAGTCACGCCGTTGAATACAGAATTCATGGCGGCGATGGTTGCTTCACATGGTAGGTCACATTGCAGACGATTTATACCCAGCATACAGAATTTAATTCATGATGTATTTCTTAATTTATTTGTTATATTTCTAGGTCATGGGACGATCATGATATATTAGTGGTCTTGCCGGAGTTCAATTCGAGTAGCCAATACTGCTCGACGAGTGCTCGGTTGAAGTCTATTGCTCCTTACAGTGGGCGAAAGAAAACTACCGTTTATGCGACTGATTTTCACAATGGAACGATCGTTCGTTATAGGGTTTATGTAGATGAAATTTCAAGGATTGAAATATTCAACAACCCTCTCAAGCTTTATTTTCATGGTTTTGCTCCTCTAAGGGTCCGTGCCTTTGATAGCGAAGGTATATATATATATTTGCAAATTTATTTTTGTTTCCCAAAAGAACTAGTACAATTCTTTATGATTTAATTTTCCTGCGAGGCGTCAAAATTTCGATGATTGTTTGGTTTTTGTTTGGTTTAATGCTGAAATTAGTCATTCTATGTTGTATGAAGGTTTGCACAGTTTTCTTTCGTGTATTGGCTTATGTGTTTTTTTTTCTCCTTGTGGCTACAGATAATGTCTTTTCCTCCTTGGTGGGCCTGCGATTCATGTGGCAAATGATGCCCGAAACTCACGGATTGCCTCGTAACCTCGTCCATGTACCTCTAAAGGACTCTCCATTGAGTGATTATGGTGGCTTCTTCGGTGATTCGGATATCCAAGTAAATCTTGAAGAGAGTGGTGTTTTTTCGGATTTGTGTGTTGTGAAAGGCACTGAAATTGGCGTTTCGATTGTTTCTGTCAGTTTACTAGAATCATCGTCCCGGTACCTGAAAGACGAGATTACTTTGACAGTTGCAGAGGCGATGTCTCTCGATCCTCCATCACCCGTGTATGTCCTCATCGGCGCAGTTGTCCGTTATACCCTTAAATCCATCCGTAGTGATACGCCACGTGTCGTGAGCCTACCATCTCCATTCCATCACTGGTCAGCCTCAAACTCTTCGGTTGCTGAGGTGGACGGAGAAACGGGTACAGCTCGTGCATTGAGCTTGGGGGCAACACAAGTTGTTGTTCGAGACACCCGAATTCTCGGACAGATGCAGATATCATCTCTCCATATTGTCTTGCCCGATAATTTGTTGCTATTTCTGAGGCCACTCTATCTTTGTGGTGACTGTAATATTCCCGCAGCGTCGCGTTGGTATTTAGTGGCTGGCCAACGATATATCATTCATTTAAAGGCTTTATCGTCGACAGAAACGGGTACGCATGAGGTTTTTATAACAGCGAACGACGAGATTGTGATTGATCTGGCTCATTGGGGGCAGTTTTTCTGCGATATTCTCCCGGTTTCTGTTAGAGTTGCTAATAAGAACAAGTACAGAATACTAATTGCATATTCATCTGGATCGGGAAAGCTTATAGCGACTTTGGCTTACCGCACTGGGCATGGTATTAAGAAAGAAGTTCTCAAGGTTTCTCAAGAATTCACGGTTTGTGATCAAGTTGAGTTTGTTAAGGAACGAGCGGGTAACCGTTTTAACAGAATTCTCCTCCCGTGGGTCCCGGGTGTCTACCAGGAGTTTCAGCTTAAAGCAAGCGGAGGTTGTGCTGTGTTTCCCAGTCACTATAAATGGCTATCTTTAGACGAAGCGGTTGTGTCTGTATCTGCCTCGGGCATTGTTCGGGCAAGAAAACCCGGAAATGCAACTATTAGAGTAGTGTCGATTTTCGATTCATTGAATTATGATGAGATGGTTATTGAAGTTTCTGTCCCTTCTTCGATGATCATTCTGCCTATCTTTCCTGTGGACCTGTCGGATCACATCTTCAAGCTTCTCTGACATTGAGAGCATCGAGCGGCGCGTATTTCCATGCATGTGATGCTTTCGGATCATATATTAGATGGAAAACCGAGAGCGAGTCTTTCATAATTGTCAACACAACTCTGAGATTATTGGCTGTTCGACTCAATTCCTCGTCGTCGTCGTACGGCCCTGCTTGCGCATCGACTCTCATTTACCCATCGGGTCCCGGCCGCACCATCGTGCATGCAACATTAAATAGAGAGAATCGACCCTCGGAATCTTATGTCTTGAATGTTTCCTTACGTGCTGCTGCATATTCACCGCTTACTATACACCAGGCGAGCAACGGGAACCGTTTTGGTGGTTACTGGTTCGATACGGCTCGTATTGGATCTTGGAACGAGCTGGGGAGATCGGATGATGTCAATCTTGCACTCGGAACTTACTTGGATGTAATGCTTTCTGGAGGACCAGAGAGGTGGGGCGATGATGTCGAGTTCGTTGAAACTGTGGATGTAATCGACGAGGGGAATACTTATGCGAAAAGTAGAATTTTCCTGGATCGAATATCGACCGTTTACGGCAATTTATACCGAATAGGATGCAAAAGTTTGGAGCCTTTCTCGGTTATTTTCAGAAGGGGAAACCTAATGGGCGAAGAGCATCGTTTTCCAGCTGTATCCGAAGCTGAAATGGTGCTTACATGTAGCTACCCATCTTATATTGTAATAATACCCGATGCAGAATTGAAGGCTCATCAAGTTATACGGTCTGCAAGGGGGGCTGAAAGAACGGTTACAGTAGCCAACGGGCGCGAAATTCGAATGTCGGCTGTTGGAATCAGTAATTCCGATATGGCTTTTGCGAATTCGTCTTCGTTTATTTTAAGGTGGGAATTAAGTGGATGCGAAGGGCTGGCGACTTTCGATGATTCGAAAGGGTATTCGAGCTGGGAAAGGTTTTTGAAATTGCAAAATACATCCGGACGGTGCACCGTGCGCTCCACTATTGTTGGCTTCAATGATTCTCTAAGCAATCCCGATTTGTCTATGTTGCTCGGGAGTTACGTAGATCTAACGGCTGCTATCCAGCTGCAGCTTGTTTCTCCGATTAGAGTGAGTCCGGAGTTCAGCTTGTTGTTTTTCAGTCCCGTAGCTAGGTTGAATATTGTTGGATGCTAAATACCAACACGCAAGTGTACGTATCGCAAACAAGTAGTAAAGTAGACTCGTGAGAGTCGGATGTCGATCCCACAGGGAATACGCAAATTATTTAATCCTAAGTACCAAATCCTAACAATTGTGATTTTTATCCAGCCTACGCAGGGTTGTCAAATTAATTAACTAAATAAATTAAACTAATTGAGAAAGCAAGTAATCACGAGAAAATATCAATAATAAACGGATCTAGGATTTTATCTTCCCCCTATGCGATAATTCTTCACCCGATTAATCTCCTATCATGCAAGTTACGATTCCCGATTATTAACCCAAGACACGAAATTATTCATAACCAGCTGTCGCTGCGCTATAAACCTACTATTCATAAAAGATTCACTATATGTCTATGCAAACCTAGTATAAATAAAGCATTAAATAACAAGTCTCGTAAACGGCTACCTAAGGTATTATCTGTATGTCTACGATAATACATGTAATCAACACACGCATTCGGTGAAAAACTACTCGAAGGCTCTTCTATCCCTGTTCTAATTATTAAAACGATCTGTCAATCAATTCTAACAATAACAAATAGCAACATAAGTTAGCTACGCTCATGCACTAAATAAGATCAAGATAGAAGAAATAATCGAAGAATTAAACTTGCATAAAAGTAGAAAAATAGGTTCGAATTACCACATAGGGTTCCAATAAAATCCTAGAATAAAAACTTAGCTACTCATGTTCGTAACGAAAAACATAATAAAAATACGAAAGTTCATAAAAATCAGAAAAGAAAAGGAAAAGGAAAACTAGGATGAAGAGTCGTCAAGTCTTCGTCTTCGTTCTCTTGCTCCTTGATTGCGTGTAGAAAAGATGAAAAATAAAAACTAAAGAAAAAGATAAAAGATAAAAGATAAAAGATAAATCTAATTGTGTGCTTGTGGCCTTTAAATAGGGTGCAAAACTATAATAGGGCGGGTTTCCTTGTGTAATTGGGTTTCCTTCACTGCGCCATCACGTCCACCCGGACGGCCGTGTGAGATTTTGAACTAAAATCCGCACGGCCGTGCGGTCTTTTAATTCTCCAGAATTCTGCTTTTTTCACTTTTGGCCCACTTTTTCTCCGAAATTGCAGTTTTCACCCCAAAAGTTGTCAATTCTTCAATTTGCACCTAAAATACAAATAATAACCAAATTAAGCACCAATTATCGTAAAAACACACCAAAAGCTCCAATTAAAAGGTATAATTAAGTGTATAAATATACACTTAACACACCCCCAAACTTGAACTTTTGCTTGTCCTCAAGTAAAATCAAATTAATAGCACAAAACAAAACCATACATCTCATTACATAGATCGATGGGTCAACTTCGCGTTTTCAGAACTTGCAATTATGATGACAATTCATAGGTATTCGCAAGCTTAACATTCAACGGCACTTAGTCACTCACTATTACCAAAAACCACAAATCATACAATTGCTTCAAGTATCCAATATTTGCAAGTTAAAGATAGAAAGAATTTATACTTACATGCATATATTTGACTCCAAATACTCACCAAATTATTTTACTCAACTAATATTGAACAATAAGCTATTGGGATCATTGGGGCTTTGTGGCTTTCAATTGTTAGGCTCTTTGGTCCGAGGTAGGTAATATGGGAATGTGTGGCTAATTTTCTTGAATTGAGGTGATTACGCCAAAAATTGAAAGATAGGCGTTTGAAACAATGACTTCACCTCTAGGGACTTAAATAAACTCGATTCTCCAAAATTCACACGTCAACACTTTTTGCCTTTTAGGCAATGGATCGAATTTTCAACACAATTCAACAACTAGTCCTTATTTCTCCCTTATAATCTATTCTTCTTCTTCTTATATATTTTTTTTTTTTTTTTTTTTTTTTTTTTTTTTTTTTTTTGTATCGAAGAATTTAGATATATATATAAAGATGCACATATATATCCATAGCTTTTTTTTTTTTTTTTTTTTTTTTTTTTTTCGAAGAAGAAGAAAGATCTTATAAGAATTTTCGATCGACCTCCAAGGGATAATTATTCAAAAATCTCCACTTTTCTACTTTCCACATATTGGCTAAAAGAAAGAACACCTTTTCTTCGAGGCTCAAAGCAAGGTTCTAAGGATAAATTGACAAAAAGGGTAGGCTTGAAAGGCTCAAACGGTTCAAAGAAGGCCCAAATCATATCCCAAATCACTTATTATCAACACTTCGTATCATAAATGTCCTAAGGTGAGATTTAAAACCGAACAAAGCATGATTGAGCACAAATAAATTCCAAATTTAAAATGCAAAACATTCAACCAAAGCAATGCACAAGGTGTGATTCCTAGCAATAATTCACTTCTACGTTCCATTGAATCGAAAGCTAAACAAATATCTACTCCTTAAAAGCATAAAACAAGTAGTCTCATCATCAAACATTGACCATCTCTCATCATCATAATTCATCGATGCAACGAAAACAAAACTAAAGCATGCAAACTAAAGCATGCAAACGAAAACAAATAAAGCGCACATAAACGAAAACAAGTAGTTAACACCCCCAAACTTAAAATTCACATTGCCCTCAATGTGATTCGCCCGGAGTTTAAGGATAGAAAACACCTGTTTAAATGTCGGGACCACCGTCGGGTTGCTCACCAACTCCACCGTGCGCATGAGCATTAGAATTGTGAGAATTGTGGGTTGGAAAACCTTGTTAATCGGCCCCGTTTTTTTTTTTTTTTTTTTTTTTTTTTTTTTTTTTTTTTCGGACGGCCGTGCGGAATTCAGGCCTGCAATCCGCACGGCCGTGCCAAAAGCCGGATTTGGGCAGTAGCCCCTTCGAATCTCAGACGGCCGTGCGAGATTTTGGCCTAAAATCCGCACGGCCGTGCCAAAAGCTGGTTTTGGGCAGTAGCCTCCCCGAAGTTTCACACGGCCGTGTGAGATTTTGCCCTCTTTCTTGCACGGCCGTGACAATAATTGCATTTCGGTCCCTGCAAAATAAAAACTTCTTATTAGTGCCCCTGAAACTTTTTTTTTTTTTTTTTTAGAAAAATAAAATAAAAACAAACTAAAAATTTAAATAAAAATAAAATAAGAAAAACGAAAGCTCGGGTTGCCTCCCGAGAAGCGCTAAGTTTACAGTCTTCAGCCGGACTTTGTCTGCTTCTTTGTTCAAGCTAACGTGACCGAAGTCACTTGGCGATTGAATTCCTCTCCCCAATAATGCTCGTTTGGTTCGTTAGGTGGCCACATCCACCTTGCACGTTCATCATTGGTATCATCCCAACTCTTTTGACTGTCCATCGGCGGAGTTGAAATTGTGCTCGCACAATAAACTTGCTCCGTCCGACTATCTTTTCCGCCACCATCTCCTGCACTCAAAGATCCTTTCCCATGGTCTAAGATCAAAACGTCAAAATCGTCATGATTTGTAAAATCCACAAGATCAATAGCATAACAATCATTATCATCACATGGATTTTTCTTAGCGCTAAAAACGTTAAATTTGATCGTTTGATCGTGCACCGTCATTGTAAGATCACCACTAGCGCAATCAATTAGAGTTTTTGACGTGGCTAAAAACGGCCTTCCTAGAATAAGAGGTATCTCCCTATCTTCATCTATATCAAGTATAACGAAATCCACAGGGAAAATAAATTTATTCACTTTCACTAGCACGTTCTCTAAAATACCTTTTGGGTAAACTAACGACCTATCGGCTAATTGAAGGGTTATAGCCGTTGGTTCAATCTCACCTAACCCGAGATTTTTGTAAATGGAATAAGGCATAAGATTAATGCTAGCACCTAAATCAATGAGTGACCTAAAATTTCTACCTCCAATAGTGCAAGGGATAGTGAACTTACCTGGATCGCCGAGTTTTTGTGGAAGGGGTCGTACAAGAATTTCACTGCATTGCTCCGTGAGTTGGATGATCTCGTTCCCTTGCAATTTATTCCTCTTTGTCACGAGCTCCTTGAGGAATTTCACCCACTTTGGCATCTTTTGAATGGCTTCGATAAACGGAATGTTGATGTGGATTTCCTTCAGCTTGTCCAAGAATCCTTGGTGCTCGGCATCTAACTTCTTCTTTTTAAGCTTTTGGGGGTATGGGACTTGAGGGACTCGCGAGTTCACTGTGGGTGATGGTGGTTCATTGCGAGTTGCTTCTTTTTCCTCAATCACATTCGGCTTCTCGATCACCGTGTTTTGCTTCTCCTTTCGTGGGGCCTCCTCTAATTGTCTCCCGTTCCTTAAACTCACGGCGTTGCACTGCTCGACGTTGTTCTTCCGAGGGTCTTCCGTGTTTGATGGCAGTGCTCCCGATGGCCTTGCTGTTAGTTGGGTTGCAAGTTGACCCATCTGTGTTTCTAAATTGCGGATGGAGGCTTGGGTGGTTGTCATAAACTGCGCCAAGATGTTTGCGAGATCTCCGCCTTGAGGTTGAGCTTGAGGCGGATTTTGGAATCCGGGCGCTGGTCGTGAATAATTAGGCGGTTGACCTTGAGGTGGTGCTTGCCTTGGTCCTTGCTGATTTCCTCCCCACCCAAAGTTAGGGTGATCCTTCCATCCGGGGTTGTACGTGTTGGAGTACGGGTTCCTCTGTTGTCGGTTGGTGTCATGCACATAATTCAGAGACTCCGTTTCTTCTACGAGCTGGTCGGGAACTTGGACTGCATGGACTTGCTGAGTTTGCAGAGCCGCTACTTGCTTCGATAGCTTCTCCAATTGGGCCGTGATTGCGGTGACTCCATCTAACTCCAAAATTCCGTCCGTCTTGACTGCTCCGCTATTCGACCGGTCCGATGCTCGCATGTATTTATTTCTAGCGATTCGTTCCAAGAGCTCGTATGCTTCGTCGTAGGTCAAACTCATGAACATACCTCCAGCTGCCGAATCAAGCACGGTTCTCGAGTTGTCTTGCAATCCATCGTAAAATATTTGCAATTGGCGCCACTCTTGAAGTCCGTGATTCGGGCACCTCCTTACTAGCTGCTTGAACCGCTCCCACGTCTCGAATAGTGCTTCACCGGCTTCTTGTATGAAGTTTTGAATTTCACGCCGGATTCTCTCAGTTTTTGTTGGGGAGTTGTATGTGTTCATGAAAAGTTGAGCTAGCTGGGCCCAGTGCGGTGCACGAGTTTGCAACCATTCTCGGGCTGCTCCTTGTAGGGAGTGCTTGAACAGGCGGAGTTGCAGTGCTTCGGGTGTTACTCCGTTCATCTTGTGTGAGTCACACGTTTCGAGAAAGTTGACCAAGTGAAGATGTGGATCTTCATGAGCCAATCCGCTGAATAGACCATTGTTTTGGAGCATCGTGAGGAGTCCCGCTCGAATCTCGAAATTGTTGGCTTCAATGGGGGGCTGCTGGATGCTTGATTGGAACCCATTGAGTGTCGGGACGGTGTACTCAGGCAGTGCTCGTTGACGCGGTGGTGGATTAATCAGCTGGCGTTGCTCTTGCTCGTTGACGATTTCTCTCGCCACATTCGGTGGGCGCCTTTGGTCACCTTCTCCACGATTATTCTCGTCTTCCATCGTTGCCGGAGTGTTTTGAGCTAACCGTTGATTTCTCCTGGCTTGCCTAAACGTTCTCTCAATTTCAGGATCAAGAGGTAGCAGGCTCGTGTCGTGTCCTCTTCGCATAAAAAGTACCTAAAAAAAAATAAAAAAAATTATTAAAAAAAATAAAAAAAATGGCTGAAGTAAAAAAAATTGTTCAAATTTAATATTAGGATAAATAATTAATTTAGCCGTATTCCCCGGCAACGGCGCCAAAAACTTGTTGGATGCTAAATACCAACACGCAAGTGTACGTATCGCAAACAAGTAGTAAAGTAGACTCGTGAGAGTCGGATGTCGATCCCACAGGGAATACGCAAATTATTTAATCCTAAGTACCAAATCCTAACAATTGTGATTTTTATCCAGCCTACGCAGGGTTGTCAAATTAATTAACTAAATAAATTAAACTAATTGAGAAAGCAAGTAATCACGAGAAAATATCAATAATAAACGGATCTAGGATTTTATCTTCCCCCTATGCGATAATTCTTCACCCGATTAATCTCCTATCATGCAAGTTACGATTCCCGATTATTAACCCAAGACACGAAATTATTCATAACCAGCTGTCGCTGCGCTATAAACCTACTATTCATAAAAGATTCACTATATGTCTATGCAAACCTAGTATAAATAAAGCATTAAATAACAAGTCTCGTAAACGGCTACCTAAGGTATTATCTGTATGTCTACGATAATACATGCAATCAACACACGCATTCGGTGAAAAACTACTCGAAGGCTCTTCTATCCCTGTTCTAATTATTAAAACGATCTGTCAATCAATTCTAACAATAACAAATAGCAACATAAGTTAGCTACGCTCATGCACTAAATAAGATCAAGATAGAAGAAATAATCGAAGAATTAAACTTGCATAAAAGTAGAAAAATAGGTTCGAATTACCGCATAGGGTTCCAATAAAATCCTAGAATAAAAACTTAGCTACTCATGTTCGTAACGAAAAACATAATAAAAATACGAAAGTTCATAAAAATCAGAAAAGAAAAGGAAAAAGGAAAACTAGGATGAAGAGTCGTCAAGTCTTCGTCTTCGTTCTCTTGCTCCTTGATTGCGTGTAGAAAAGATGAAAAATAAAAACTAAAGAAAAAGATAAAAGATAAAAGATAAAAGATAAATCTAATTGTGTGCTTGTGGCCTTTAAATAGGGTGCAAAACTATAATAGGGCGGGTTTCCTTGTGTAATTGGGTTTCCTTCACTGCGCCATCACGTCCACCCGGACGGCCGTGTGAGATTTTGAACTAAAATCCGCACGGCCGTGCGGTCTTTTAATTCTCCAGAATTCTGCTTTTTTCACTTTTGGCCCACTTTTTCTCCGAAATTGCAGTTTTCACCCCAAAAGTTGTCAATTCTTCAATTTGCACCTAAAATACAAATAATAACCAAATTAAGCACCAATTATCGTAAAAACACACCAAAAGCTCCAATTAAAAGGTATAATTAAGTGTATAAATATACATTTAACAAATATCTCGATTATCGGAGGAAGCTGTTACTTTGACGAAATCGGTAACGATACTGAAAGTGGACACATACTCTAAGATCCTTCGATGCTCTTTTACTATTTTCCGGATCAAATGACCACAAATATCTCCATATCTTGTCAGATAATGATTAACCGGATCGCGAGAATACAATGGGTCTTTCGATAACACAAAAGACATGCGATTCTTTGTCAGGAAATTCAGAGTCGTTAAACAAATGATGCATTGAATGGAGTTGAGTGCGACATCTACCTGCCAATAGATTTTCCGACGCCTCACTAGATGAAGAAAGGGCATTCAGGCTCTTATGGAACTAAATACCAAATTGCATACACGTGAAAAGTAAACCATCTCTCGAGGTTCGTTTTCTGTCAACCAATCTCCTGTCCAGTCGGCACCCCTGTGCCCCTGGTAGACAACTTGAAAGTAGCTGATGAACACCATTTTCTCACTCGAGGTGTTCCACTACACATCGCA